ATATAATATAAATTAAACTATAAAACATATATTTTTTCACTATATTTTATAGTTTAATTTATATTATATTAGAAAATTAATAAAATATAAATATTATAAAATAATATTTTTTTGGTTTTATTATTATAATATTAAATATAATTTCTAAAATATTAGATAATATGATTTATTTTTATTAATTTAATATCAACAAAGATGTCATCTTTTATAGTAGTTTCTATTTATTTAGGTGTAGATCAATTTTTAGTATTTAAAATTATAATAGTATAATATTAAATTCTATTATTTTTTATTATTTTAAATATGTAATAATATAATTTATTTATATATATTTATTTATTTAATATAATATAATTATTTATTTTTTAAAATTAATATATATATTATCAAAACAAACAAGTCTTTTATATGGTTTGTATAAATTTTCTTTTTTAAAATATTCTATTCTATAAAATCAAACTTATTCATGATATAATTCATGAATTTTTTATTCTTTCATAATGAAATTATTTATATATAATAATATAATTATATTAGAATTTATATTTCTAATTATAGATTTAATAAAATTTATTTCTTTAAAATTTATTTTTTTATTTATAGTTTATTTTATTTTAAAATTCTTGGTTTTTTATTTTAGTTTTTGTATTTATTTTTGTAGAAGTAGAAATAGAATTAAACTCGACTCCAAACTTTATTGGAGGTTGCCACCAAGGCCACTCCTTGTCATTAAGCAAACTAATTTTAACTCTAGTTGTGGAGCCATACCCCACTCAAGCAATGATAGATGACCTTAACAACATAAAATCTAAGTAGTTTTATTTTTTAAATACATTAAATATAGGTTTTTTCTCAATTTATTTTATAAAATGCTTTGGAACAATAGATGCAAGCACTTACAATTTATTTATTTTTGGAAAATGGACAAATTTGTGTCATCTTTGTAGATGAGCGTATTTATCTACAAGTTGGCACCAGTTGAATGCATTTATTGACTTAGCTTGACAATAAAAGGCATCAAAGAAAGAAAATGTAATAGATTTCTTTTTTAAAGAATTTAGAAGCCAATAGGGGAGAAGCAACATAAAAATCAATAAAGAATGTAATTTTCTTATAGGACAGAACAAACATGGTCCACATTTTTAGGAAAATATTTATTGAGTGTGAGTTTCAAGAAAATGATTTCTACTTAAAGTTAACATTGTTTCATCTTTTTTTTAATAGAAAAAAATTAAATAAAATAAATAAAAAGTATCAATTATTGTGTTAATTAGATTCGGAGTTATTTTGTTGTCAAAAAAAGCCTATCATAATTTTGTATACAACAATTTTGTATACACAATTTTGATTGCCATTTTGACATTTATTTGACAAACCTTAGTTATTATAATATTTTTTATATATATTTTTGTAAAGAATCGTATATACTAGCTAGTATGATCGATCAATGTGATTGAAATTTTTAGAGGCTACATATTCTTGGTGCAAAAACTAGTTTTTTTTTTTATTATTATTATTATTATTATATCATTGATGTTATTACTGGTTTATTGTGAACCACTGATTTCTGAACTTGGTATTGTTTTTAAGATTGGCTGCCTTGTTAAAAACATTTTGAAATCATAAATTATTTCATCATGTACTCTATGTATCATCTATAGTTTGTATATGCCAAAGTTGTAATTTTAATTGTCAAATTTGTAAATGTTAACTTTGTGTATTATTGGTTACAATTGGGTTGTTAAATTTCTAAATTTAAACTTTTAGTGTCATAAATTGAAATAATTGTTATCAAATTTGTGAATGTTAACTTTGCATATTATCAATTGCTTTGATAATGCCTAAGTTGTTAATTTATGTAAAAAAGATTGCTGATGCTTTACCTTCAAAGCTCTGTTTCTTTATTATTGATTGATTTCTAAGTCTTGTTGCAATTGTTTTATGTATTAATATTGTACAAAAAATTGTCTTATTGTATAACAGATGGATATGTAAGTGTTGTTATCATTGATTACAAAGATAGATGCATTGCATACAAAGTTGACTTTTTTTGTGAGTAATTTGTGTATGAGTATTATTGTGTTAAATTCATGTATAAAGAACTATTGATGCATGGCATACAAACTCATTAAAATTGCAATTATTAACCTTGGATATTAAACCAAAAAAAGTAAAAAATAAAAAAAATCAGTCAACAAATTTATTCAAATTAAAAATAGGAAAAATAAAAGAAGAAAAATACAAAAACTAATTATTTAAAATCCAAATTTTAGAACCTCTTCATATTGAATCTTTTGTCCAAACTTCAAGACTTTAGATATATGTTTGTTTGCAGTCCAATAGTTTGGAGCTTAGCTTTATTCTATTGCAAGTTTGGTATCTTGTAACAAATGCCAATTTGAAATACTAATTTAATGTCCTTGTATTTGGTAAAGTTAATGAATCACAAGAAAATCCTATTCTAAGAAAGATTTTGTATTGATTACAATTTTGAGCTTGACTATATAGAATATAACTTTAATCAAAATATAAAAGAAAAATAAAAATAAGATAGAATAGAACAAAAATTATATATCTATACATATATATATATATATATATGTATATTTATTTATTTATTTATTTATTATATAAGTGCTTAGATTGGCCTTTGATTTAAGAGAATAAAAATAATAACAAAAAAAGATGTCTATTTAATATGGTCTTGTTGTACACTTGTACTACTTCTAATTGATTATAAGAGCTAGTTGTCTTTGCTTAAGTGACTATTTATTGTTCCAATCTAATGTAGTGTAATCAAAATATTTGAATCTTACATAGGTTGGATATTTTTGATGTGCAATGGACTTGTATGTTCTATTGTGTGCATCTTAATCCATTATAGTTAGACTGTCCAATTTGTATGTAGATTAAGTTATCTTAACATGCATTAGACATATTAGTTTGACTTTTCTTGTTATCCACATTTTATTGATCCAAATCTAATGTTAAGTTAACCATGCTAATATAAAAGAGCCTCATCAACAAGACCATTGTTTATTTTTATACAACAACCATTGTCATTATGTCATATGTGAACTTTGATTGTTGATTTTCATTTAACTATTATTCTTACTTCAATTTTTATATATTTTTTGTGCTTCTCATTCATGCAATTAATAGTTTATAAATATTTATTACTTTAATTGTATAGTATTTGTCAAACTTATGACAATAGTTTTCATTAGCTTATAGAATGGAAATGTGTGAGACATGTAAATAAGTATCAATTGCACCTTATATTGTATGTAATATAAAAGCTAAAATAATCTTATTTTATGAGTTATTCTAGATATCACATTTATTTTGTATAAATATGTTTTTATATTAAAACTTTGTACTTTTCATTTTCAATAACTAATTATGAGTTTTTTTTCAACTGCATCTTTCTTATCTAATGATTTATGATCAAATTTTGCAAAACCAGTTAATTAATCTTTTAAAGATAAAATATTAGTTTGTACCTATATTTTAAAAATTAATTTATATTAATTTAAATTTTTTCATGAATTATGGAAAGTTGGATTTAAGTTCGATTATTAAATCCCATAATTTTAAGAAATTAAAAACTATTCAGCCACTCAAAATATTGTAACAAATATTTTTTGCATCTTGTTAATCAGAATATGCAAATAAATTATTTTGTTTGACTTAGAAACAAATGTGATAAGATTAAAGAATCTTAAAATGTGATGTAATTAACTTACACAACAAAATATTTATTGTGTAGTGCATATTATACAAAAACTTGTTTGTACAGCATGATTTTAATATATATATATATATATATATATATATATATACATTAAATGTATATTATTTTTAACACATTCACACAGAAATAGCTTCAATGCAATTTTCTTTCTAAACAAAATACTAATTGATTGCATAGACAATGCAAAAAACATGTTTCAATAATGTAATTGGATTTTTTAGTAGCATAAAATAATAATTTCTTGAATGTAATGTCATTATATTATTAAACTTTTTGGTCTTTGAGTACCATATTGCATTATGAGATATGGGCAAAATCTTGATTAATTTGAGCATGTATTAAGTAAGTTGACATTGTAATATGATTCATATTTTATTTTTATTTCTATTTAATTATAGTAAGTCTTTAAACAGTATGATGATCATTCTAGTTGTTATGCTCCTAAATAAAGTACTCAAACTTTGTCATTGTATACATTAGAAAAAAAATTGCAAAGATATTGTAAGCCACATTATACTAAATCGTGCTTTTTCATTCAAAATAATTATTTTAATATACAAAATGGAACTATATATATATTACACTACATTGTTATAACTGCTAATTTGAAAATATATGTGTTTATATACAATGTTCTTATCTATTAAATTGCATGTATATTCTCTTAAGATTTACATGATTTAAAATAATGAAATCCTCACTTAAGAAAGTATGCTCAAGAAATATTTGGCTTAAAAGGATGCCTTTTCTTTTGAAAAAGAACTGTAATTGACACACAAGTTAGAGAATTAATTTCAACTAAGTTGATTGAATACAAATATATAATAGGAAAAATCACGTACAAAAAAAAACAACAACAACAATTAAATGATAGAGAGATATTTTATTTATTTATTAATGAGACAAAACATGGATGATAAAAAATTGCAGTAAGAGACAAAGTGGCTATGAGAAACACATGAATTTTTTGAATTGCACACACTTACATAACAATCCACACAGCAATGAAAATTCTAATATAACATAACTTAGTATTGGTCAATACAAGGTTTTTTTTATTTAGGAATCACTACACTATTTTACATGTCCTTGTCACAAAGACTAAGAATTATGAAAGTTTGCACATTCGCTCTATCTAATGCATTGGGTATACCCCAATTCTGTCATTTAGAATAAAATAAAATAAAACAACTCAACATTCAAAACATGAATTTAAAGCCCTACACTCATTTGAAAGTAGAGAGTTTTAGGGCAAAATCTGGCAACGGGGAAATTCGTCGTCATCTGGCCGACTGCCTCCCTGCGAGCAAATCTATTTTCTTTCAGACCCCAGCAATTTTGCCTCGCCCTTCCTCTCTCTTTGGTCGGAAGAACTTACAAATTCTGTCTTGGACGTTGTTGCGGACGATAGGGTTGTTTTTCGAAGGTGGGCGTCAACGAGGACCAATATTCGTTGGTGTCTAGGAGGCTTTGACTTGAGTTGTGGGGATTTGGGGTGGACATGGCGACAACGTTGCGAATCGGGAATGTAAGGAGCCATTCCGCGGGGTTTGAAGTAAATCGTTTGCGTCCTTCGAAGAGAGAGTTGGAGCTTCAAAGCTTTGTTTCGATTCGTGGCAGTCGTCTGAGGAATGTGGTGTCTAATGTGTCGGAGAAGTCGGATAAGCAGAGGGTCGGTGCCGCCAGGGCAGCAGTGATGCAGGCACCAGCGATCCCCATGCGTAGTCGTAAGATGATGAAGCTGAGGTACTTTTTCATGTTATCTGAAAATTTTCGTGATGGATTGAATTAGGAAATTATCATGCAATGGCTTAAAATTGCTCTAAGAATTTGGTTTTGTTCGTGGGAATTCGCTTCTCAAGGTCTGCGGTTGTAGTGGCGATCTCTCTGACATTCACTGCTCTTTTGTCCAGCAACCTTTGTTGGCGCATGTAGCGTTAACCTTATTTTATGAACAGACCTCTTGGATTACTTGCTGTCTTGGTCCTGCTGAGTATTAAGACTCAGCTAGACGTGACGTTAAATTCTTCTCAGATTTTGAATAAATCTCGTTTTCCTCTCCCAATGTGCAGCACTACGGTGGACGAATTGAAGAATTTGAGGTTGATAACTGCTATCAAGACTCCTTACTTGCCAGATGGACGCTTCGATCTGGAAGCTTTCGATTCGCTCGTGGATTTGCAAATCGCGAACGGCGCGGAGGGACTTATCGTCGGAGGGACAACCGGAGAAGGCCAGCTCATGACCTGGGACGAACACATTATGCTTATAGGTCACACAGTCAAGTACTTTGGTAGCGAAATTAAAGTTATAGGTGAGCTCACTAATTTGTGTGTACGTACTCGCTCTCTGTGTCTCTTTCTGTCACGGATATGCTGAAGCGTTTAGAAACCTGGTGTGGATTTGTCTTCAATTTCCTTTCACAACATTTTCTTTTGTCATTCACATTGCGATTCATCGATACATTTATCCTCTCGATGCCAAGGATTGTCTTTACTGCACGTCGTGCTTTCGGGTTCCTCTATATTTTTGCTGTATTTCTCTTGTAGTCCTGGTACAGCCCTCTGTGACACTGGATTTGTGTTCAGGTAACACCGGCAGCAATTCTACCAGAGAAGCCGTTCATGCCACTGAGCAGGGGTTTGCGGTGGGCATGCATGGAGCTCTTCACATCAATCCGTATTATGGGAAGACCTCTAACGAAGGCCTCATCAGACACTTTAGCAGTGTGCTGGACATGGGTCCAACCATCATTTACAACGTTCCTGGACGTACAGGTCAGGATATTTCTCCGTCTGTGATTAATGAAATATCAGTGAACTCGAACTTTGTTGGAATCAAAGAGTGTGTTGGTAACGAGCGTGTCGGGGCCTACGTTGAGAAGGGATTTTCTGTATGGAGCGGGAACGATGACCAGTTCCACGATGCTAGGTAACACAAATTGCTGGTTTTTCGTTTCGTTTTTCTCTTAACCTATTTCTCGTGATATTTGCCACTACTTGAGCTCTCCTACTCTCATTTACCTTACCTGGTTCAAAATAACAGAAAGTTGGAACCATGAGGTTGACTGTGCCTGATGTTTCTGAGCTGAATTTCATTTCCAGGTGGAATTATGGAGCACAAGGGGTTATCTCGGTAGTGAGCAATTTGATACCACGGTTGGCACACAAATTACTCTTCGACGGCAAGGATGTAGATCTCAACAAGAAGCTCCTGCCGCTGATCGACTGGTTGTTTGTGGAACCCAACCCAATAGGATTGAACACGGCTCTAGCTCAGCTGGGCGTAATCCGTCCCGTGTTTCGTCTTCCTTACGTCCCTTTGAGCATTGAGAAACGCTGGGAATTCGTTCAAATGGTTCATGACATTGGCCGGGAGCATTTCGTAGGCGACAATGATGTGCAAGTGATGGAAGATAATGACTTTGCCCTTCTGGCTCGGTTCTGATGAAGTTAGACTACTGTGAGGTGAGAGTCCACTCATATAACCGGTTCGTCTGTGGAGTTCCTTTGTGTGCTCTAACTTCGAAGTCAAAGCGAGAGCTCCTGGAAATTTTTTGGGTAGTAGTCGGTGTAGATCAGGATATTCGCAGGGCATTTTTATGTGCATGTCTAGGTGTGGAATATCTCTTCCCATTTATGCTGGTAGTTGACATTCACAGATCAGTTCTCCCTGATCATGGCATTCTTTTCATGATCAGAGAGGAGTTAGTGTTGTCGGATCTGAATGCTACTTTTTACGATCGTGTATCACCATGCTGGTATGATGGTTTAGTTTGGAATTTTACTTTTGGTTTCATTTAGGCTTGATCCAATGTATGCCTCAAGTTGTTTCAATTTGGAGGGGTGTTGTGGTGGAGTCTCATTATGTATTCTACTTACTTGGAGACCCATATCTCTTTTTTACTACTCCTTTGGTAAAACAAGTTTTGTGACAAGATTCTAACCTCCTATTTCAACTCCTCCATTACTTTTAGTGAGATTGTAATCCTTTGATCCACTTAGTAACTTCAAGTTTTATTGCAAATTTCTAAGGTAGATTGTTGACAATTGCTGGTTTAGGTCTCAAGATGTTAGTATTGGATCCCTTATCTCACCTTTACAACATCTTGTAAGCTTTCTTGTAACCTTTTTTGGTAGTTGGTATGGATGTACAAGTTTGTAAGTAAATATCAAAACTTATGCCTTCTCTTTGTGAAATTTTTTAAAGAAAATTTCTTACTTTTTATGGTGACAATTGTTGATTTTAATTCTAAGTTTTATATAAAGTAAATTATGACATTGTAGTGTTTATATTATGAGGTATAATTCAAAGAATGTTAATATTATAAATAAAAAGTTATTTTATAGAGATATTTGATTTTCTTACTCAATTCTCATTTTAATTGTTGTGTATGATATAGATAGTAGTTAGATTTTTTAATACAACTAAATTATTTGTATAATAAAAATTTATATATTGATATTTATAATTCTTATCAATCAAATAGTATAGAAGGTCTTAGATTCAAAACAAGAGTGGCATCATATGTTGTAATTGTTGGCATCATATGTTGTAATTGTGTTGCCAAATATAGACAAATATTTTATTTGTAGACTATTATTATTTTATTATTGGCCAAATACAATCTACTTGATAAATATCTTCACTAGCATCATATTGTGATAGTATATTTAAGTAATTATTGTATAAAATAGGTGTAAGATATATTGTAATAGTAATCAATATATTATCAATTAGTCAAAATTTCATTTTTTGTTGAAAGTTATTATACTTTGCATAATAGTTTATATTGTTTGCTTTGAATATTATTTAAAGGTTTGCATCTAATTAAATAAAAAAAGTCCTTTAAGTGTATTTGATTTTATTATTGTTATAAATTAAATACTTTTAATTTATTACATCAAATTTTATTATTGTTATAAATTAAATACTTTTAATTTATTACATCAAATTTTATTATTGTTATAAATTAAATACTTTTAATTTATTACATCAAATTTTAATATTATCATTAGCAAATGATTTAATTTGTTGTTAGTTGTGTTTTATAGTATAAAATTGTACTAAATTGATTTAATTGAATATATTATATTGTGTAGTAGTTTAGATTTTCTATCTATCATTGTCAAAGATATAAATTACAACAAATAAAATCCCAATATTTTCTTATATTGTTCAAAAAGAATAAATATTCATTCAATATTTATATAATATAGAAATTGGAATGACTATTGTTAAAGACAAAAAGACTAGAAACTTATGAAACAATATTAAGGGTTAGAAAGGCATAGATAAGAATGAAAAAGACTTTATTTCCACTTCTATATATACTATTTAACTAAAAGTTATATGGTGGCATTCTATAGGACCTTCAATATATAGTTGTTATATTAAAAAAAAAAAAAAAAAAAAAAAAAAAAATCTTATAAATAACATCTCTAAAAGACAACAAACCATCTATGACTCCTACATATACGAATTTATTTTCATTAATTAATGATATTTTTACTTTTTTAACAAAATCTTTGTTTGCAAAACAAATTGAGGCTAATAAATCTAACAAGCCAAAGACTTTGCAATTGTTTGGTCATTAATAAACTTCTATTATAAAGCAAGGTGAGGGATTTAAGTATAGAATATGGCTTTTATTAAGTGTTATACAAAATTCCGACCACATAGTCCTTAATATAGTTGAAGAAGTTCATTTCCAATACATTGTCCTCTTTGGAAACCATCTTCCTCACTTTGTAATTACATTATTTTTTTTAGATAAGTTGAGCAATGTGTTTAGATTCTCCATAGCACAAGCACAAACCTTCTTCATGATGTTGAGTCTTTTTTTGTTCAATAAGAAGTTTGAAATGTACCATGTTAATTTGCATAGATTCCAACCTTGATAAAATAAGCTTTAAAAAACTTAGAAGTTATTGCCATAACTTGACTTACACCTCTTCAACCAAACCATTGTGTTTAGCATCTTTCAAAGAATCAATTATCACATACAATAGCTTGAGCAATAAATTATTTAAATAAATCTGCTCTTGACATTGTTAATAATAAATGTTTGACATTGTAAATAATTGATCTTTGACATTGTTTACAATCTTTATTCATTAAAAAATCAAAATTTATTGATAAAAGCTTTTTTAATTTAATCCATGTTGTATAGAAGATTTTGAAATTCAACAATGTAAATGGTGGCTAAATGTGACCTTTGTCACAAAGATAAGAGTTTGGTTTCTACTATCTTTTCTTCATCACTTTTTCCAAATGCGATCATAAAAGCTTTTAAGAATGAATTCAAATCATATAAAAGTTATGAATCTATTTCTATCAAAGGTACAAACCAAGATAGAATACTTCCAAATAGATGTGCACTTATAAATCCAACTTGAGTAAATCCATTAGGATATTGGAAAAGATCCAACCTCACATAGAGCTTTACTTCTTGTAGAAATTCTTGAAATTTTGATCTTATTCTATCAAAATTCTCTAGCATATTTATCCTTGCCTCCTTCATACTTGTAGTAGGAAGATTTCTTGGATTTAATTATAACCTTAATCTACTTATTTCTCTTGATTGCTCAATTTCTTAGTATAAAATCTAAATCTTACCGTTGACTTCTTTCATAAGCATAGGAATAGTAACTCTATGGTTGGCATTAGAAATACATGAAATTTCCACCTAAAGAGTATTGATAAGTTTATGAAGATCTGCAATAATTGCAAACCTATTCTTACTTTTGTTAAAAGTAGCATCCATAATTTTTCTTTTAATAGATAACTCAAATAAATCTACAAATCAAATTAGAAGAAGGTAATCTGTAATTTGTAATATTAAATAAAAATTTCTACAAAGAAGGATAGTCTACTCTATTATTTTAATAAGATAGCAATGATAATCTTATATAATACAAAGTTATCTATTACAATGCACAACACATGTATGTCAATTTGGCATTAAGATATTCCTTAAGTTTAGACATCTTAGCAAGCATAGCCAATTTTTATTAATAATTTGCAGCAATGTAATAAATTAAATTGTATACTATCAATTCGCTTAAAGTTTTTTTCAAGTGAATAAAGAATCACCTTGCATTGATTCTACAATTAAATAGAATTTGACTCATATAAAGTTTACTAAATATATTATTTATTAATAAATAATATATTTAAGTAATTTTAAATATAATAGATAGCTACTATCAATGTAATAATGATTTAAAATATTATTTTTACAACTAATATGATTAGAAAAATTATTAATGAAACTTATAATTTTTTAAGGACTTTTATAAAGATCAAAATATTTTTAAGTAATACCAATTATGTAATGTTAACATTATTGCCAACAATACAACATAAAAAAATTTCAAAATAACTTTTGAAAAAGTCAATTATGATAATATTTTAAATACAACAATATTTTTAATTCTTTATTAGTATGAAACCTATAATGTCTACTTTTAATCAAATTTGAAAACCATTGTTTTTTTTTGTTTTTTTTTTCAATCTACAAAATATTAAGAACCACAATGACATTGAACAATCTATAAATTTGATTAAGAACTTCTATCTTTATATTAATAATAAATTTAATAGTAATATAGATAATAATAATTTTGTTGCAAAACATGATATTCCTTTAAAGAATGAGATTTGGACGTTAGATGCTTATTTATATTACTTAACAAAATAATTGCACTAAACAACTATTCTTAATAAAATAAAGGCATATCAATGCTATTATAGACAATCCATCTAATAAAAAAAATTGATATTATTTCTTAGTGGTTTAATTGTCATAAGTTTCAACTACTATTATTTCAATGTTTAATAGATTACATTGGTATTTATACAACATCAATTCAATGCACAAGAACCAATAGTAATAGAAAACATATACACCAAGGTTGTAATGTTAATGTGCCCATATTTTGTATAAAGTTTTCTAATCATTCTTGGCCCATGCTTTTTTAGTAAATTAGAGTTTAAACTCCAATCAATAAGCACAAAAATGTATCTTGTGAAGGTTAAAAAGAAATAGTTTATTGCATTCAACAATTAGACTATATAAAATAATACAAAATCATAGTAATCTGTAAAAAAGAATAATTTGCTAATTTAGAAAACAAATAAAATTATCACACAAATAAATCATGACTTGGATTATAGCATTAAAATTACTATTAATAATTTATACAATAAAAAATCCAAATGAAATAGTTTGATTTAATTATGTTTATACTTGCAATAATATAGAAATTCATACTATTTTTATACACTTTATAAAATAAGTATTTATACTACATTAAACTTAACTAAGTTATTCAAATTAAAAATTAAAAATATATATGAATAATCAAAATAATATGATTTAGATATAATTGAATTAAAATAATCTTTCTTATGAGTTCTATATTATTTTAAAAGTAAAATCTTACGTTTTTTAGTATTTGTAGAGATATTCTGATTCTTATCATTGTATTTTTCTAAAGATAGTTATTTAGTCATCAAATAATAAAAATTGATAAAAAAAAAAACTATATCATATTTTCTTTTACTAAAACTTTTTTTTTGGTAATTATTTTGAATTAATATATTCTTTTTTTAAAGAAAGAAGATTTCATTAATGTTGATGTAATTTCGAACCATTGAATCAATAATATTCTTAATTTTATGGTTAAACTAAAAAAAATAAGGAAACAAAAGATGTGGAATGTTTTGTGTGAAAATATTTTTTTCTAATTTATTCTTATGTAATATCAAAAAATTATTCATGTAAAAAGAATAAAAAAGTATAATCCAGTTTATTTTGAAAAAGAAAGCATAACTCATAATATAAAATTATACAATTTTAACAATTATTCAAGAGTTAAAAAAAAACAATTAGAAATTACCAAAA